TATATCTGCGGATAGCTGTATCTTTCTATTTATCTGTATCTATCTATATCTAGAAATATCTATAGGTAGATGAACCACTTATTTGTCAATCTAGAAAGATTTAAAACAAATTGACTCAAGCAATTGTGAAGGCTTGATAAATCCAAAATCTGTATTGATTTGCTAGCACTACCATAGAAAAATACCACAAACCATGTGGTTTAAACAACAGAATTAATTTCCTCATGAGCCTGGAGGCTAGAAGTCCGAGATCAAATTTAGCTTCTTCTGAAGCTTCTCCTTGGCTTGCAGATGCCCCCTGTCTTGCATGCCCCATGTGGTCCTTCCTCTGTGTCTTTTTGAGTGTCCAAATTTCCTCTTGTTTTAAAGATACTGGTCAGATTGGATTAAGGCCCACACTTATGGTCTCATTGTAATTTAATCACCTCTTTGAAGATCCCATCTCCAAATATAATCACATTTTGAGGTACTTGGAATTAGGGCTTCAATCTATGAGTTTTGGGGCAGACAAATAAGAGTTCATCCCATAACAGATAGGATTTACTGGATACTAGGATTTTCAAAGTGGGAGAGAGGTGGAAGAAGAGGGTCCCTTTCTCAGAGTAGATGAAATCTGAAAAGACCCTAAGGCTTAACTCAGATCTAAGTTATTTTAACTCCCATAATCTTGATGACAGCCCTGAGGTAGGGACCAATATTGCCCTTGTCTTACTGATGAAGGAAATGAGGAGGTTAAGTAATTTGCTCAAGATCATGCAGCTCTCAGCTGGGGAATTTGGCCTCAGAGTTCATGCTTCTAACCACCACACTAGAATTCATAACTCCAGGCCAGAGCTCCAGGTTGGCAGGACACGAGAGAGGTGTGTGCTGAAAGATGAAGCTGGAGACATAGACAGATGCAAAAAATTTGGTGCCTTGGAAGCTTCCAGAAGGAAATAGGACTCCCTCCTGAGATCAGAAGGACACCTCTGGGAGATTAAGAGTGAGAGTGACAGGGTTAGGAGATTCTTCTTGCTGCTATTTGGGAGGCAAATCAGTTGAGGACAATGATACAAAGATGAAAACAAAGGATGAGACTTTCCCAGCTGCCTGATAAGGAAGGACATTGGCTTGAAGTAGGTTTATGGCAATAGAGTTGGGGATTTCCACAAATGTGCTGGGTTGGCCAAAAAGTTCATTTGGGTTTTTCTCTTAGATGTTATGACTTCCTTGGTGGCTCAGATGGTAAATCATCTGCCTACAATGCGGGAGACCCGGGTTCAATCCCTGGGTTGGGAATATCCCCTGGAGAAGGAAATGGCAGTCTACTCCAGTATTCTTGCCTGGAAAATCCCATGGACGGAGAAGCCTGTAGGCTACAGTCCATGGGGTCACAAGGAGTCAGACACGACTAAGCGACTTCACTTCACTTCACTTCTTAGGTGTTATGGAAAAACCTGAACAAATCTTTTGGCCAACCCACTATCTTTTTTTTAATGGGAATTTTGGTGCTAGAAGACATAGGACTTGGTGATTGAGTATATATTGGGAGATGACCGTTTAAAATTTATGATGGTATGTAAATCAAACCATTATGCTGTATTCCTTAAACTTATACAGAGATGTATCTCAATTATTTCTCAATAAAACTGAAAAAATAGCCAAAAAAAGAAAAAAAGTAATGTGTATAGCATACACTCTATAAGCAAGAGGGGAAAAAAGATTTTTTATTTTATTAAATAAAATAAGATCCAAAAGAAGAAAGAAAATTTATTATAGTGTGACTCATATATAATATTCAGTGATATGTTATCATCATACCAAAGCATTTTAAAACTGCAAAACATCTTGGTGATGACAAGTCATTTAAGATATGCTGAATGTATTTCTGTTTGTCCACATACATGCTCTGTTGTTAGCTTCTGTCTGCTTTCAGTTCCTCCTCCATCCCATTAGGAAAAATTTAAAGATAGGAAATGTACTGCACAGTGGAATGTGTTAATAGCTCGTGGGCTCAGACCTCAGTTCACTCCCCATGGTTTCTCTTCATATGCCTTTAAAAAAGAATCTACAGTAGATGGAGATACAAAATGAGTCTATTTTTGATAACACATGTAGCTCTAAGATGTGCTGTCTTAGCCAAGCCATATATTCGTAGATGAATTGCCTTTTTGTAAAGTATGTTTTTCTTTGTTCCTGGTGAAAAGAAGTTTTGGGCCCCTTATAAGGAACGGGGGTGGGACAGAGTGAGGTTTATCAGAGGCATGTTCTCCGGGACCTTCCGGACACATCTATTTGGTCTGGAGCAGCCCTTCCCCAGGCAGTGATCACTGTGGTGGTAACTTTCTGGTGAACCTACCTCAGGTCCAACAGCAGTCTCTGCTTTGCAGCCCAACTTCTCATCTGGCTGGTTTTGCCAACGCCTTGTCTTAGAGGGAGAAGGGTGGGATGTGGGCTTCCCACCAGGTCCTTGGTGAGAACAGTGCTATTAGTTACACAGATTTTTCCTGAGCAAAAATAATTCTAACTGGAGTTTAATACCAACTGCAGTGAGAAGCAACTGACTCAGAAATAATAAGGTAAAATGAGTAAATGATTGAGGAGCAAATGGAACAGAGGCTCCCAGCTGCCCACTAGAATAAATGAATACTCTGAAGACATCTAGACAGGATTGGGCATTGAGCCTTCAGGAAAACCTGAAGGCCATTTCCTTCTCCAGGGATCTTGCCGACCCAAGGATTGAACCTGCATCTCTTATGTCTCCTATATTGGCAGGTGGGTTATTTACCAGTAGCGCCATCTGACAGGGTCTAGCTAGAATGTAATAACGTTGTTTTATTTTTCAGGTACTTTCTATTTATGGCAAGGGGGATGCCAGTGTTCCATTTATGTTTGTGTTATGGATCTTCCTTTAAAAATAAATGTATATAAGGAAAAGAGGAAGTTGATGTGAAATACTAGGAAATACTAAAGAAGCTATGCAAATAGAGCAAACATCATGAACAACTTAAGAGGCATAGTTATAATACTTGTGCTCTGATGCAGATAGGTAGTGCTGTCATCTGTCATAGAATCCTGAATGTTATATAAAAGAAATCTGTGCAGCAGGCAGAATTATTATGAGAATGAACAAATTATTTTTGCAGAGTTTGGCACATGTTCTTTATTTTCTTCTTTGACCTCTGAACTCCCAGTCAGGTGTGGTCCAATGAACAATCAGTTGAGGAACAGGATTTGTTACTTCTGCCATATCTAGTGATGTTAATGCTTGAACTTCATTAAGTTTGTGAGAACTATACTTTTGTAACTGTTTCTTGTGCTTTCTTTTCTTCATCTTCTATTAATTTTTATTTCAAAAGGCAGAGCACAACAAAATTGCTGCCAATTGTTTGAATACTAATGTAAATCAAGGGGCAGCAAGGTCAAACCTGAGCTGTTGACTGCCAGGCAGAGCCCCATTGATGGCTTAGAAGGAAGCGTGAAGAGCAGGTACACAGATGTCAAGTCAGGTGGTTGAGGGGTGTTGATGGACAGAGGACAAAATTGTATATTAAAAGGAAATTGAACCTTCAGAAGTTCCTCTTGTGATTTTACAGAGTGTGGTATGCTTGTGTTACATGTTCAGACTTGATCTTAAATACTGTTTTATGCTGTTTATGAATTGATTTGTGTTTTGCTTCCAATAAAAATTAAATTTTTGAAGCTTAAGTACTTACTGTTTTGATCCCCAGCCCTGATTTGAGGTGGGAATATGGATGCTCTTTATCTTCACAGAATCTCTTCTTTTGGATGGGGGCCCCCCAGTTTTCTTTTAGGAACTTACCCTTTGTCTAATCCATGTAGTTTAGATGGTACTGACTTCATCCCAGCCTCCAAGGGTGGACACATGAATGAAATATGGTTAAGTAAAGGACTGTATTCTGTTGGTCAGTGTAACTCACTGAGAATGGGTGCATAGTCCAGATTGCACCAATAGGAACCCTAGCTAGAGTTTTGCTTGAACTGGTAGGGTAAAGGAATTATCTTTCTACTGCTAACTAAGTAGGATGTAAGCCTGGAATGACCAAGGCTGCAGCCTAGAGAAATCCTGACCAAGAGGAAAGCCAGTGCAGAGGAAAAGTAGAGCCCTGAGTGGTGGAGAGAGTAATAAAATCCAGATAACTCTTTCTGTGCCGCCTAGTTTCAGCTGTCCCTGCGGACATTACCCTTGGACTTTCCATGTATATGAACCAATGTATCTCTGCCACCTCCCACACCCATTTTTATGTTTAAGCTAGTTTCAGTCTGGTGTTTGCATCTTGTTTCTGACAGAGCCTCAGTAGTACATCCCCTCTTCCCGTCTGGCAAACTGTCACAGTGCCACACATGTGATGTGCAGATGATAAACACTTGCTGATTAGAGGGGCCTAAGAAACATCCCACGGACGGAGGAGCCTGGTGGGCTGCGGTCCATGGGGTCGCTTAGAGTCAGACACGACTGGGCGACTTCACTTTCACTTTTCTCTTTAATGCATTGGAGAAGGAAATGGCAACCCACTCCAGTGTTCTTGCCTGGAGAATCCCAGGGACAGGGGAGCCTGGTGGGCTGCCGTCTATGGGGTCGCACAGAGTCGGACACGACTGAAGTGACTTAGCTTAGCTTCTTAGCTTAAGATCCCCCTAGATTTATGAAACAGGATGACGTAATCCCAAGGGCACCGGGACAAGAGTCTGAAGATTTCAATCATTTGTTCACTTCAAACATTTTTACTGAGCACCTGTTTTGTGCCAGGTGCAGTTTTAGTACTGAGGACACAGTAGTGAACAAATAGACCAAGTCCCCATTTTAACAGAAATGGTATTCCAGTAGGAGAATATATAATATGTCAGGAGTTGATATATTATATGCAGTTGTGAAGAAAGACTTCCTACTAATTAGGTCTGGGACCTTGAGAGAGCCACTTTATCTTTCTGAGTTTCCTTTTCCTCATATATAAAAAAAGGGCATTGCAATGCTTACTTTTTGTTTCTTTCCTTTCCAGAACGACCACCACCAACAGCAGTATTTCCATTTCATGATGCACGTTGATGAACCTGAATTCTGGAGCACACCTGAAAATATGTTCATTGATAGTTGACATTTCCAGGAAATTTTATGTTTTTCTGTGTTTATTGTTACACTTCTCTATGCATAGTTTTGAGAGTTATGAATTCTTGCCTATTCAGGTTTCCCAGACATCAGCTAGATTCCCATAGGACTTGGGAGCTGCCTAAACTAACTGAATTCCCTCGAGGTCTTCGCTTGAAAGCACTATCTGAGTCTACCTGTTCTGTCCATGAGCTTTCCCTGAAATCAATGACAGATGGTCTGTTCCATCGCTTTTCATTTGGCGAAAAGTTGCTGTTATCTCTCATCCTTGGCTAAGCTGAGACTTTTTCTACCCCCCTCAGCTCCTCAGTTAATCACTTTGCTTATCATGATCTCTGGTCTTGCCTGCCTCTTCTTACAAGTTTTCAGAATTCTCAGAACTTTTCTGGCAGTGGAAATGGTCTCAGTAATGTTATCACTGTTGACTTTTAAAGTGATACCATAAATATAATTTGACTCTGAAGAGGGAAGAGCATTCTGTTTATTTTTTTCCCTTGAATTTATTTATCTTGGAATATAGTTGGTTTATAACATTGTATTAGTTTCAGGTGTTCAGCAAACTGCTTCAGTTATACACACACACACACACACACACACACACACACACACACACACATATCCTTTCTCTTTCAGATTCTTTTCCCATATAGGTAATTTTATGGGTACAGGTAATTACAGAGTATTGAGTAGAGTTCCCTGTGTTAGCAGGTCCTTGTTGGTTGTCTATTTTATATATAGTAGTATGTTTATGTTAATCCCAAACTCCTAATTTATCCCTTCCACCTTTCCCCTTTGGTAACCATAAATTTGCTTTCAAAGTTTTGTGAGTCTGTTTCTGTTTTGTAAATAAGTTCATCTGTATCATTTATGTATATATATGTCAGTCCCAGTCTTCCATTTCATCCATCCCTACCCCTTTCCCCCTTGGTATCCATACATTTGTTCTTTATGTCTGTGTCTCTTATTTTCTTTGCAAATAAAATAATCTATACCATTTTTCTAGATTCCATGTAGGTGCATTGATATAAAATATTTGTTTTTCTCTTTCTGACTTCCCTCTGCATGACAGACTCTGGGTTGGTCCAAATATACCTGCAAATGACAGAGTTTCATTCTTTTGATGGCTGAGTAATTTCCACTGTATATATGTTATTAATACCTCATCTTCTTTATCTGTTCTTCTGTCGATGGACATTTAGGTTGCTTCCATGTCCTGGCTACTGTAAACAGTCCTGCAATGAATTTTTGGATCCATGTATCTTTTTGAATTATGATTTTCTCTGGGTATATGCCCAATAGTGGGATTACTGGGTCATATGGTAGTTCTATTTTTAGTTTTTTAAGGAACCTGCATACTGTTTTCCATAGTGATGGTATGAATTTACATTCTCATCAACTATAAAATGGTTCCCCTTTCTCCACACCCTCTCCAGCATTTATTTTAGACTTTTTTGATGATTGTTATTCTGACTGGTATGAGGTAGTAGTACCTCACTGTAGTTTTGATTTACATTTCTCTAAAAACTAGTGACATTGAACACCTTTTCATGTGTTTATTGGACATCTATATGTCTTCTTTGAAAAAATATCTATTTAGATCTTCTGCCGACTTTTTGATCAGGTTTTTGTTGTTGTTGTTGATAGTGAGCTGCATGAGCTGTTTTATGTATTTTGGAAATTAATCCCTTCTTGGTAGCATCATTTGTATCAGGTAGCCCTACTTTAGTTTACAACTGCTGAGAATGTCCCATGGTCTTTGGCTTGTCTGTCTCCATATAATGTGTGTTGGAATCACTTCTCTAGTCCCATGCTCACACAATTTGGTGACAGTTCTCCCAGGGAGAGAGAGAGTGCATCTTATTTCTGTTCATCTTCCCAGCACTCTGCACACAGTTTTGCATGCAGTGAGGGGCCTATGAATGTTTTGACAATTGGATTTTGAATCAGTTACTTTCTTGGATAGCTCTTGACAATATCCAACTTCTTGATAAAGTAAAACCTGATGTTAGTCATTTAATTTCTATCAAAGGCATTGCAAACTAGTTATTGATTTTTTTTTAAAAGAGAAATAAATCTACCACTTGATACTTATTCTTGCACTAAAACATGAGCTAGGACAACCAGATGTGATTCGGGTATCAGATGAAATCCGTATAAATTAATAATAATAAAAATAAAAGACTAATGTGAAATGGGGATTTAATTAACTTCAAACAACAGCTAGTCACAGTATCCAGAGAAAGTCTCAAGAGCTCTTCATAATTTTGTAGAGGTTTCAGGACTTAACTCTGTGTTTTTGTCTGTTTCTCCTTTTCTTCATTCATCTGTGCCACTCAGGCTCTGTCCCACTCACTATCAATCTCAGTATGAGACTCAGTCTCTGCTCTGTTTCCACAAAAATTCATTCACACACAAATCTCATAACATGGTTAAAGAATGGGGAGAATTGGGAGAGAAGCCACATGGAGAGTGTACACCTACTCCCATCTCCTTCCATTTTCTCTTTCTCCTCCCTCCCTCGTGGTGGAAACTGCTTAATTCTTCACCTTGTCTCACCCCAAACTCTCTCACCCATATTCATGCCCCCTTTAAGTCAAAGCACTTTTCCAAACAGAGGAACAGCACTTCTCCAAGCTAAGAGTTCTGGTAAAATAAAAACACCTCCATCTTAATGACAGGGAAAATAGATCCCCATATCTTGGTTTGCCATGAAAGGTTATATGATGGGTCTCCCAACAATGGCTCTGTGGAGTAGGCTATGTTAAATGCAGTAACCGGAGGCCTTCTCTTCCACCCATCAGAAAGGGCTTTGCACTCAGGAATGGCACAGAGTCCCAGTTCAGAAGGCTAACTGCCAAAAGTTTTATTGTGTGCAAGGGTAGAAAGCTCTAGTTTCTGCAGGATGCATTAGATGAGGGGTCCTCGATAAATGCTTGTGAATGATGATGGTCTGGCAGCACTGGCATATATCTGTGCTTGAGCTCAGCATGGTGCTGACTCATGCTCTTGCAGTGGGAACCCAACTCCTCTGCCAACACTCCTCACTCTGCAGCCGCCAGGGAGAGCTTGCCCTCCGCCACCATGCAGCTCTCTGGTAGCCTGTTGGAGATGCAGAGAGAGGCAGGCAGGGGAATGGTGGAGGGGTCACCACATTGGGCAGAGGGAATGTGGGGTCAGAATGGTCTTTGGATTCTGAGTCAAACTAAAGAATATTTTAGATCATGGAACTTCCAGGACTAAGATCCTAGTTGTTGTTCAGTTACTCAGTTGTGTCTGACTCTTTGCGATCCCGTGAACTGTAGCATGCCAGGCTTCCCTGTCCTTCACCATCTCCTGGAACTTGCTCAGACTCATGTCCATTGAGTCAATGATCTCTAGACTAGGAGTTGATAAACTATAGCCTATGGGCCAAATTTGGCCATGGCCTTCCCCCCCCCCCCCCCCCAGTTTATTTATTTATTTATTTTCTGCTGCCAGTGATTTTATTAATTTAATTTTTTATTGGAATATAGTTGATTTACAGTGTTGTGTTAGTTTCAGGTGTATAGCAAAGTGAATCAGTTATACTATATGTATACCCACTCTGTTTCTGTACAGCCCACACCAGATACAGAGCATATATTTGAACAGATGGTTTTTACATTTTTAAAGCGTTACAAAAAGCAAAGATTATGTGATGGAGAATGTAGCACATGGCCCACAAAGCATAAAATATTTACTGTCTGGTCCTTCAGAGGAAAGGTTGGCTGACCTTGTTGTAGACCAGTGGGACTCAATTGTGACTATACATCAAGGTTACCTGAAGAAACGTTTAAAGACAAAACAACACAAATAAATAGATAATTCTGCCCTAAACAAACTCACTGAATTAGACTGAGTTAGGGTCTCCAAACTGTTGTTTGCATTTTTATAAACTATTACAGGTATTTCTAAGGATTACCAAGATGACAATGATGCAATGATGTACCTCTTTTACTTTCTAAACTTGCCTGATGGCTGGTCTTGGACTTAACCATTGAGCAGAGCATTGGGTCTACATTGGATTAATTTCAGCCTTTGTTTCAGCAGAAGGGATGTCTGTTTGGGGCAGGATTGGGTAAGAAAAGGTCTCCAAGGAAGTTTCAACCTTGCCCAGAAAAAGTATGAAAAGTTATAATAAAGTACTACCATGTTTGCTGAACATTTGTTATACATTTCCACAATGATTCTTGCAGCAAATATATTAAATAAATTATTATCATGAAGCAACTGAGGCTTAAAGAGTGCTAAATAATCCATCCAAGGTTACCTAGTTATCAGAAGGTATAGCCAGGGATGTGAACCTGGATGTGCTTTCTACCAGAACCTAATTCTTACCCAATGTGCTTGGTGGCCAGGTTGTCATTGAACAGAACCACCAATAGCTGAAGATCTGATAGCCCATCCTGGCAGCGGATGGGGAACAGTTTGTGAAGTGTATTCATTGATACTCTTGCTCTCATATAGAGCCACAGATTCTGGAAATGTGAGGCCTCTCGATGGCTGACCAGGAGAGGAATTTAAACCCCTCACTCACCTGCAATATTTAGCCAGTGTTACTGACTTCCAACCCTTCCAGGTCTAAAACGCCACCTCCAGATACCTGCTCTTGCCCTTTCAGTTCTCAGCGCAGAGTGGAAGGCAGGCGCATGCTCACTGGAATGGAGGTAAGCAAACAGACTGTAACCTCAGTGATGCCCTCTGGAGTTACCCAGTGCAGAAGCCCAGTGTTACCTGCTCTTTTGGAGGAAACTGAGCCTTATGGAGATCAAGGAAGTTGCTTTAAGTTGTGTTGATTCTAAGGGTGGTGTCTGTCAGGCCCACATTCTTTCTCTGACCACCACTGCCTTGCCTGTTGGCTAGTTTATGGACCAGCTTCCTTCAGAGGGGCCCTTCCTTCTCCATCTATTTCTTTGAAAACCCACCAGGACCTTTCCCAAGAAAAGGACAGCCCAGTGATTCCTGGGGCCTCCTCAAGAGGCCTGGGTCTGAGCTGTCCCTTCTTGGGCCTCTCAGTGGCCTGGTCTCCACTGAAGATTTTCCCCTTCAGGAGGCCCAACTGCCGGCCACATTGTCAATTGCTAGCTGGTTACCATGGAAACAGGTCTCAAGAGGGATCTGCTTTTCTGCCTCCTTGAATGAGGAGGAGTAGAGGGCTTTGTGAGGGGCAGCGCTTCCTGCTTCGTGGCCAGGAGAAGGACTGGCTTTGGGTGATGGGGCCTACACAGTTTGCCCGAGGACCCCACTCTTTGTCAGCATAAGATTGCCAATTTTTCATTCTGAAGGATGACTGTCCTTATTTGGAATACAAATCCTTTTTCCTTTTTGATGGTTGAAGTGCCTTTTCTTTTATGAAATAATTATGATAGAAAGAATGGTTTAAATGATGTTATTACTTGGTAAATAAAAAGTTTGTTAACACAGGCAACAATGTGGTGAGTCTTAAATCCTTATGCTAAGTGATATAAGCCTTGCAAAAAAAAAAAAGAAAAAGGAGT